CCTTTCACAAAGAATCGCCATCCATCAATTGGTTGGGCCCTCATCGNAGAAGGCTCGTCTTCAGCATCTACGATCCCAAAAGCCAATGGAAATATCTGAAAATTCCCATCTTGTGCGGCTGCAACCAACATAGTACCCTCATACTTCCCACTTAGGTGAGTCCCATCCACCACAATGACCCTTCGCTGATACTTAAAACCTTTGATAGAAGCTCCAAAAGACAGAAATAGATACTTAAATCTATCCCTAGAATCAAGTTCTATAGCCGTGACTGAATCGGGATTTGCTAAGGAGATTTGCTCGAGATATGATGGCAGATGCAAATACCCATCTTCTGCTGTTCCTCTCACCAATGTTTGTGCATATAACAGTGCCCTGTATGAAGTGGTGTAATCAAGCTCCATGCCAAACATGTTCTTCATTGCATCTTTGATATGCTGTGGAGTCAACCCATCAATGATTCCAACACGATCAATGAAAAGCCTACCGACATACTTCGGAGTACAGTGTCTCCGCTGAGCGATTCGGTGTCCCACTGAGCATGTATGTGTTTCCACATATTTTGTTACCCAAAACGTGTTTGTACCATGTTTCACACTCGCTCTTATCTTCCATCCACAACCACTAACCCGACATGTTGACACAAGGAGAGTTTTCGTTGACTTGTATATTCTGAAGGAGAACTTACGCCTCACTGCTGTCAACCGCAGCTCTGAAAGCAGTGCATCCNTGTTACCCAAAACGTGTTTGTACCATGTTTCACACTCGCTCTTATCTTCCATCCACAACCACTAACCCGACATGTTGACACAAGGAGAGTTTTCGTTGACTTGTATATTCTGAAGGAGAACTTACGCCTCACTGCTGTCAACCGCAGCTCTGAAAGCAGTGCATCCTTGCTAACAAAACTCTTGTTGACATATATACTGCTACCATTCGATCGTCCTCCTTCAATAGCATATGTATCTTTGAAATCTTCAAAAACCACATCACTATCTTCTTCCTCATCCTCATCTCTAACCTTTTCATAAACACTATAATCCTCACCATTCTCGTCCGCTTCAGCAACATTAGAGCAAACAGAGATTTCAGCATCCTCCTCCTTATCATCCTCCTCCCCATCATCCTCCTCCTTATCATCCTCCTCCCCATCATCCTCCTCCTTATCATCCTCCTCCTTATCATCCTCCTCCCCATCATGATTTTCATCTCCAACCAACTCATTATCACCTTCATCTTCAAAACATTCATCAGCTTCTTCCCTTTTCTCTGAAACCGTTCCCACCTTGCTACGGCTTGATACACAAAGACATACTCTACTAGTTTTGAGTATCTCGAGCAAGTTATGAACTTGTCTATCACTTGTAACATAAATGGGAGGGGTGTCTGGAGCCATCATCATTTCTGCTGGTAATGAGTATCTAATCTCCACAGTGACTGTGCTCATGTCCAGGTTATAATCTTCTTGTGCCATTGCAACAAGTTCAGCATGTGTTGAATCTTCATTCAATAAAAACAATCTTGCTCCTTTGAGATCATCAACCACAAAATCCCAACGGCAATCTTTCTAACACCATTCTCCATACACTGCATGTAACTGACGAATCATCTGCAAAAATTCAAAATAAAACACATTAGTAAACATAGAGAATTTCATGAAAGTTTACTAAACATCGTCTGGACGACATACCAGTAAGTCGTCCGGACGACTTACCCGTAAGTCGTTCGGACGACTTGCTTCTAAGTCGCCCATTGAGGTCATTTTTGCATTTGAAATTTAAATGGGACGACTTACTTCTAAGTCGTCCAGCTTTGTTTGTTAAAAAAAAACACCAGACGACTTAATTATAACTCGTCTAGATAAAACGGTCTACTTTTGCTTTTGACCGAATTGTGTCAGATATTTGACTTTTTCTGGACGACTTAAAATTAAGTCGTCCCTGGGAAAGTTAAAATTTCAATATTTTATTAAATCTAGACGACTTAATTATAAGTCGTCTCAGGTTAGTTTTGCAATTCAAAAATAAAACTTAAATTTTTAACTTCTACAGACGACTTAATTAGAAGTCGTCTGATCAGACGACTTATGTTAAAATCGTCCAGAATAAGCAAGGTTTGACCAGAAAACTCGAAAAATATTATGGACGACTTTGATTATCCTGGACGACTTTAATCTAAGTCGTCTGAGCTGTCGACTTTTAATTAAGTCGTCTGGAGAAGTTAAAAATTTAAGTTTTATTTTTGAATTGCAAAACTAACCTTAGACGACTTATAATTAAGTCGTCTAGATTTAATAAAATATTGAAATTTTAACTTTCCCAGGGACGACTTAATTTTAAGTCGTCTAGAAAAAGTCAAATATCTGACACAATTCGGTCAAAAACAAAAGTAGACCGTTTTATCTAGACGACTTATAATTAAGTCGTCTGGTGTTTTTTTTTTTAACAAACAAAGCTGGACGACTTAGAAGTAAGTCGTCCGTTTGACCAGAAGACTTATCCGTAAGTCTTCTACATCCAGAAGACTTAGGGGTAAGTCTTTTACGCGAAGAGATCTGGAAAAAAATTCAATTTCAAACCTTAAACTAGGTGAGATGACTTCCTTTGCACACAGAGTCTTCTCCAACCACCCAGAACATCGAACGAAAGTAACCCACCAATAATTGTATGCTTAAATGGCTCTATCAACCATAAAAAATTTGCTATCAAAAGCTTGGGTTTTTGGCATGAATATGGAGACAAAGTGAAGGAGATGTTGTTTTTTAGTTCATAACAATTGAGAAAGAAAGTATGAGTATCGATTTTAAGTGCATTAAAAGCTTCAAACCTTGGTTGTACAAGGTTGTTGGGAGTATTCATGGCAATGACAATGTTGTAAATACTTGAAGATGATGAGGTTGAGAGAGAAAAGGCCATTTTCGAAAAAAAGTAAAAAAAAAAAATTAATGGCATTTTCGTAATAAAATGAAGATGTGGAGTGGATAGGACAAAAACAAGATGAGTTAAAAGAAGAAGTTAGTTTTGTGTTTGACCATGAGTTTTGAGTCAAATTTGCAAAAACCCCTAATTTGTATTATGAAGGTGAATATTAGTCATTAGCAGATTCGAAGAAGTAATCATCATCTGTCCTTTCTATATTAGAAAATGATAAAAGAAACTTTCAAATGAATTAGCTCTCACACAACAAACGTTCGCCCAAACGATATTTAAGGCTATATAAAACAAATTACTTTATCGATAGGTTCATGTCAGGATCAATGTTTGGTCAATTTGCACTAAGTACTGATTATGGATACAATTTTTATCAGAGATTCCAGCATACATAAACAAAATCAAATACACGAACCATGAAACCTGGGTGTATAATAAGACCAGATTACCTAAGAATTGAAGTATTCGTTAGCAAAAAAAACAATTGAAGTATTAGTAAACCAAAATAACTAACAAGATTAGTTATAGAACTAAATTATCGACCCATTTGATTTACATAGTTGGCTGTAACAAACGATTGTTTCATCCCATAGCATTAATCAAAATGTAATCCAAATTCTAGGTAATGTAGTACATTTTCGAAATAGTCCATTCTGTAAGACTAGTTATGCTATTCCCGAATTGACTGGATCGGATTTATCAAAAGAAAACAAAAAAACTAAAACCTTTATTGCTCACCTCATATCATAATGTCAATCTCACTAATGGACAATTTAGCTAATTCGTGTCATGTGGTCTCAGACCCTCATGGCTTTGATAGGCGACCACTTTTTAGTTCTTACCACGGCTTTATTCTTACGAACATATTTAATTTAATTTCCTTCTTAACTTTTTTACTTTGTAATTCCAATTTAATAAATTTTAAATGCATCAATTCTGGTTTGTAATTTTCAATTAGTTTTTTGTAACCTTTAGTTTTGTATTTATTTAAGTGATATTGTAAACATCAAACAATAAGTAAAAGGGAAACATGAGCATCAGGTTAAAAATCAGCCAATGAAAGGTATTGTTTTGCCACGTCAAACCCATTACTCAAAAATCCCATTAAAATATTTCAATTGAACCCATTTAGCAACCAGACTAATCTCTATTAGGGCATTTCCAATGGAGATGGTCTTAGTATGACCCTGGAAATAAATCTATACGGGACTCATATCCATTGCATTTAACCTAATTTTGTTGTAAGCCGTCTCCTCCGTCTCTTCCGCTTCTTCTTCATCATTACAACTTTATGCATTTTCTTCCATATATCCATTTTTGATCATTCATTCCTCTTCTTTAATCCTATCTGCGTGAGCCATGATATCCTTTCAACTTCCTCTCTTTCTCTAACTATATAAACTCAATTGCCTGTTGAAATTTTTTACCGTACCAAATTCTACAACCTCCATTAACAAAAAACAATCAATGGACAGGAAACTGATTCAAACCTCCGGCAAGTCTCCGGTTTCTTTATATGTCAACGACTTTGGATAGTGGGAGTCGTACTAATGTCAAAGGGTCCGCCGGCGTTGGAATTATACTTCAGTTTGATCAATTTCTCGTAGGCCGGAATAAAGGTAGAGCTCTTATTGGCTTAGAGCTGCTCATCATCGACGAACAGGTTTTCGTCCACAATTTAATTTTCAGTTGATAAGGTTACAGTAAAAGTAATCATATTTATTCAGATTACGTGACAAAATCGTATACCTTCTCAAATATAATTTTAGGTTGGTTTAATAAACGTATAAATGATCTTTATACCAAAACTACAAAACCCAGATTTTTACTATATTGATATAAGTGAAAAAAATCAATGAATAAACCCAATGAAAAAATCAATGAAAAAACCCCAATAGATGCTCAATATAAAAGAAAAACTTATATTATTATTGATTCTGAGTTACAAGTCTGATGTTTTTGTTTTCGGACGGACCACTCTGATCCAAGCGTTCATCTCATCACTTCATGCTCCACGGTACGAGATTTGAGGAATTTCTACGCTACGAAAAGAAAAGAGCTACGCAACAAATGCCTACCGAGTTGCTGAGCACCTTTCAACAATCTGTTGTAACCGGTCTAGACCACATGTGCCTTCCTATGGACAATGGCCGGTTCAGATTCCAAGTTCATGTGGATTTGAATCCAACTGTTGGTAAGGGGATACCACTATCGTAAGGTCTGAAATGAAGGGGATACCACTATGGTAAGGTCTGAAATGATCTGCAGATTTATTCTTTATCTGAATTGTTATTTCCTATCTTTTGTTTACTTAGTTATCTTAGCTTAGCTGACAAATCTACTCTAACAATGGTGTAGATATTGTTGACCACATGAAACTATTGAATGGAGAATTGCTCATTCACCGTACTGTCCTTGACGAAGTGGAAATAGCGAACACAAAGTGTGTTCTGATTAACTTACAAACTAACTAAGCTGTCTACATGTATATAAATAACGTCTTCTCTCTTTTGAATAGTTAAGTGTCTAGCTGTCAAATGAACATAATCAAACCATCATGAATCAACATTTTAAAGGGCATGTTATGAAGCTGTATCTTTGGGACAAGGCAGCAACAGTGTTCTACAAATTCACACGGCCAGTGCCGAGTGCCGACAACTCCCATCATCCTTTTAGTGGCGACTGTGAATCCAAAACGTATTGGTGGTAAATATTTCTTCAGTTTGATTAACCAGCTTAATGCTTCTCTTAACATTCAGTGTTTCATAATTTATTTGAAATAATTTGTCCATCTGATTCCACGTTTTGATGTCTGACCCATAAACAACAGGGATCCTTGCCTTCAGTTCAATGTCATCATCATGTGTTTTCATCTACAAAGATTCCAACCCACAATCAACTACTTCAATTGTCAGTATTTAATGAGGCAACATGTACATAAACTATTCGTTTGTATTTGGTATGACGACAAGCACATGTAAGTTCAGCTAACATTAGAACACTTATTGGTTTGCATATTGTGTCAGGTTGAGTTCTAACCCAAAGAGTTCTAAGATAGTGAAATGCATAGGAGGTGACTAAAGGTGAGGCAATGAAAATTGGAAAAATATTTGCTTATATCAAGCAAGGATCAGCCAAGGTAAATAAAATATGTATATAGCCACAAAAAAAAAACAAATCACTTAACAATGTAAGTCTCTGTGTTTTTGACAAATGCACGAGGCTTTTTTGAGTGCATAGTCACAACTGATGGTGTTTAACCATGATTCTTCTTGTTATTATATCGATCGCAGTGATTTCAAAACAGAGACCAACAGACGGCCCTTCTTCGTTTGTGTGCTCTAAATGCGGCAATGAAAACGTAACTAGGGTCACAAAGTAATGAACTTAATGCTCAGTATTCTATAAATCGTTGGCTTGGATTACTATTTGTTTTCTCTTATGCACTGGTATCTTTATAAGATCCATGTCTACGACAATAAATACCAGGCTGTGTTTGTTTTAGTTGGTGATGAAGGCCGTGAGTTAACTGGAAAGCATGCCTCCAGAATAGTTGATAAATACTTTAAGGTAGCTTGCCATTACATTAGTCATCTTTCCCAGCTCATTAAACCTAACTAATTTTTTTTTTCAAAATGTTAGGTTAATGGTGATCTTGATCCTGACCATGAGGTGCTTGCCTGTCCCACAAACTTTGATAGACACCATTGGATAGAATAGTATTTTGTATTTTAATTATTTATATTTTTATAACTATAATGTAAGGATAGAATAGTATTTTTTATTTTAATTGAAACTTGATACTTTACACTTATTTTTGAAAATATCCATATAATAAAGGTAAACATAAATAATACTCCCTCCAATTTTTTATAATTGACGTTTTAGATGATTTTTTCGTCCCAAATTATTTAATGTTTTGATTTTTCTATCTAAAATTTAATACTAATTAATGTTAGATGCTAATGATATAATAGTTTCTATTTTATTTTGGTTGAATTATTATTAGGTAAACAATTAATGAGGTTTTTGCTTAGAAAATGATGGAAAATTAAAATTTTCTTAATCTAAGTGCATAATCCTAAAAACGTCAAATATTGAAAAACAGAATGAAGAGTTTTTAAAACAAAAACATAAATAATACCGAAATGAGATAAAACAGAATTCTCCCAAAACACATAGGAATGATTTTTTATTTTTATTTCATTCTTTAAATTTTGGATATTATTCATCGTCCAACAAAAATTAAGTATTTAGATTAAAAAAAAATATGATGACATGTTTAGTATAGCGACCATAAACGTTGGCCGGCCACACAGTTTAGGAATACTAACTTTGACTAGTTACAAACATTAACCATCCTCAACGTCCAATATCCCTTTTATATTATTTGAGGAGCATTATTAAAAATTAACCTTAACTGCATGTGTTATTAACCAAATTGTCATTTCCTATGTGGTAACACCATAATCATTCTCACACTCTTTTATTAAAAACCCTCTTCTTACTAGTCTAATTACATATTTTTCCATTGGCCATTAAATTGTAGCTTCACATAATATACTACATGCTTCCTAATTATTAGATAACAAAACTAAATGCTCTCTAATTACATATACATCCTTCTACATATTATGATAAAAGTATTTATAAATGCTTTCTATTTCCATGGTTTTCTTATATTTGTGTTTACAATATTTTTTTTTATATATATTACTTACATACGTTCCAAACATATTAATTTTGGACTTCACGATTACTTAGGTACTGTGATGAACAAAATAACAAAAAAGAATGTGTTTTAATTTTCTGTTTACTGCAACATTATTAAAGAATGAACATAGACATCCTTGATATACTATTTTGTGGAGTCAACATTATTAGAGAACGAATAAAATAATTTTGATTGTTTTGTGGAGTCAAAAATTTTAGAATATATTTTTCGTTATTGTAATAAAACGACATACATCCCATATGGTTTTTTATATTTTTGTTTACAATATATATATATATATATATATATTTTTTATTTGTTTGTAACATACGTTCCAAGCATATTAATTTGGGACCTCACGATTAGGTTTTGTGTTGAACAAAATAACAAAGAGAATGTGTTTCGCTTTTTTAATTTTACTGCAACATTATTAGAGAACGAACATAAACATCTTTGATATAATATTCTTGTGGAATAAACATTATTAGAGAACGAACAAACAATTTTGATTATTTTTTGTGGAGTCAAAAGTTTTAGAATATAATTTCATTATTATAATAAATGTTTGTATATTCAAACAAGAAATGTATTTGTTGTTTGTTTAAAACGTTGCCTTCAGAAATCTATATCTACGTTTATATATACAGTTTCTATATTACACATGAGACTATATCATAATATGTTTACATCTGGCCATAAACAACAAATGATTGTTTTGTGGAGTCAAAGTTTTTGATTGATTGGTGTTTGGTTGATTTTGTGAATCAATTCGCAATCTTCGTTTCCTTATATTTCAAAACATGTGTAAACTGGAACATCAATTCACAATTTTGGGTTAAATTTGTGGTATCAATTTTTGAATCAATTCATAATCTTCATTTATTGATTTTTTTAAAATGTATCAAGTAATTTTCATCAATTAGGTTCATATAAAAAGAAAGATAGATTGGGAATTGATTTTTATTTTCCTTGATTTATTTGCATTCGATAGTTAAGGCAAGTTTTAGCCGAAAAATTAGAGCAAGTTATGTAATATTAATTAGTGAAACAAAATTAGTTATGGTGATTTAACAAAGCCGATTAACCCTAATATTCTTCCAAGAGGTATATAAATATGGTGCCGAAAGCACATCTCCTCACCAGACACTGCTTCTCAAATAATCATTACCAAAACATTCTCGCAAGCAAAACACTCATGGCAGGCTTTAACTCCGTAGCCGAGTTGAAACCTTTTATGACAATGTGGAGACCAGAGAGTGAGGGTGAGCATTGTTCGAATGTGGAAGCTATACTCTGCTGGTGGCCTAACTATTGAAATGGTTCTCATTGATTCTAATGTGAGTTTCTACAATTTTAGCTATGTTTAATGTAATATGCTTGGATACAAATGTTGTACTATGTGTAACAATTTTGGCAAATTAATTGGGGAGTAGATATTGTATTGTACTAATTTTAAATAAAAAGTGTTGGAGCTGATATCCCCTTAATATTTTGCTGACATTGTTTTGTTTATAATGATAAGGTCGATTGAAGAATTTGACTAACATTGATGGGTTTTTCAAAATTATTTTTGAACCCAATGATGTTCCAGAAATCGATGCTTACATAAAGAGGTATATCATTTCGTTAAGTTTATTTGGTAAATAAGTATATTTTTATTTTGGTAAAAACTGATTATTTGTTATTTCCTCTCTATAGGATTGTAAACTAGAAATTCTGAAGACTTTTTTCACATCATTTGTGGTTTTATTAGTTTTTTTTATTTGTTTCTTTGTAAATGTTTCTTTCGTATTTTATTTTTTATTACCTATGTTTCTTTTAATATTATAATCAGAATTTTAATTATAAAAGAAATAATTCTATTGTCTATGTTTTTTTTTATCTTCAATTCATACTAAATTTATATAAGTCTTTACTTACTCTTATAGTTTTTTCTATAAAATATATTTCAATTACACAAGCTTTTTCAAAAAAATAAATAAGCTTACACTATATATACATGCACAATTTTGTTTTATATTTCATTATATCTAATATTTGTGACAATAACTTTTAACTTTCTATTATATTAGATTAAAAGTAATAATTTCTTTTAATCATTCACTCTGCGCAGGGCGCGGGTTATCACTTAGTTCCTTATTATTATGTATCAATTTTCATGTAACCGGATTCTTATAATCTAATTATTATCATTGTTTTAAAATCGAAATTCCATGAGCCTCATGTGTTTTATGCTTCTCTTGTCATTCCCTTTTGGTAAACTAATAAGACTAATTAATTCTTGGAGAAGTAATGGGTTAACTAACAGAGAACATTATATTATTGATAAATCTTTGATTAAATCACCAAATCTATTTATTCGCAACATGTAGTCAAAATAAGCATCTTGTATCAGAATATAATTTTCATGTTCTCAAAGATTATGACTCCCTCTCCAATTAAAATAAATAAATGAGTAATTTTGAATTTCATATATTTCGAAAAGGTAGGTAGATTAATAATATATTTCTCACTAAGCCCGATCATTAACCTTAAATTCTGTTATAAATAAAGGCTTACATATATGCATTTATCTCTAATATAATTATATAGAGAGTTATGTGTATATAGATAATAGAACAACTATAAATTAATAATTTTAAAATTTTACAATTTTATTAATTTATATTGATATTAATTTAAAAAAGTTTTCTTATTTAGATTTCTTATTTTAAGATATATTAAGTTAAAAAATATTTAATTTTTGTGTATAGAAATTAATTATTATTTTTTAAAATTGGAAATTTATATTAATTTTATTATATTACTTGGAGTATGTAATATATATTACATAGTTTGTAGTTTTAGATATAATATTACTAAATTTCATCAGAAATATATTAAGTGTTAATAAAATATAAAGATAATTTTAGTGTGAATATAAAACTAACAATATAATGATAGGTTCTTACTTATATAAAGTATGTACACATATAAATTATTAATTTATATTTTAATAGGATCATATAGTTACACAGAATTTTCTAAAAATATTTTATATTATTATTTTATTGATTTGTGTTAAATTTTGAACAGTCCAAATTAAGACCACTAAATTTTATTAAATTATAGAAATTATTAATTTATCAAATATTAATTTATAAAGATTCTACTCTATTATGTGCAGATCTCTATATTATTATTTGAGAAGTCACTTTCTTAGGTGTCGCGCTCACGTTAACTCTTACGATGGTTGATTACTATGATACCCCTAATGAATTAAAAATATATTTAAATATTATTATTTCCTTTTTAAAATCTTCCAAATAACAATATAAAACAAAAGGAAATATTTATAAAATTTATAAAACTATTTAAAAACGAAAAAATAAGTATATGTATAATATTGTTTCATAAAAAAAGAAAGTTTGCAAAATAGTAATATTTAACTTAAATATATTTTTAAATAACATAAATTATACTTTTTAAGTAATTATACTTTATATCTATATCTTCTTAGATGAAAAATATATTTGTATATTATGTGTTTTCATAAAAAAAGTTCATAGAAATAATCTTGATATTAGAAAAAAATATTTTTCTTTAAAAAAATAATTTAAACAATAAAATATATATTTTCAAAGTAATTGGTTTTTGTTTATATCTATTTTTTTTATTAGATTAATACATAAAATAATTAAGTAACATAAACTGATATATGTTTTATTGACAAAAAAAATTATAATTAGTATATTTATTTGATTATAATATCTTACAGTTACAGCAAAAAATATAAATTATATTGAGTCAACGATTTATTTCCCCACGAGAACTATCATATAACATCAGATATCCACCGAACTATAAGTCTATAACCTCGTGCTAGATCTCCACTGATCGAAAGTTACAATTATTTCTCCCTGAATTGATAGTTCCAAACTTAATTGTCTATAGACTATGGTTTTTATTGGTTCATTGTTACCCCTATAATTTAAACCAAATAAACACGTCAATAATCTACTTTTATCAAACAAGAAAATGCTAATACACTATTCAAACTCCACACTATCACTATTATCAAAGTAATTTTGAAGATTTTCATATTTTGAGAGATTTTGAAACCTTATTTTTTGATAAAATTGATTTTTTTTTCTTAAAGTTGTTTGGTTAACAATAAACCGGTTAAACCGTTTTTATGTGTAATTAACTTCTAAAGTATTAGTTTGAGGAGTAATAGATTTTGAACTATCGATTCGGGGTGAAATAAGTTTATAACTTATAGTTCGGGGAGATATAGCACGAGGTGATAGTTCGATGGATATCTGATGCTATATGATAGTTCTCGTGGGGAAATATCACGTTTACCCAATTATATTTTACTTATATAATATAATTTCTCAAAAACAATCACATTTTTACTGCATATTTTAAGAGATATTAAAAAGAAAATAAAAATAAATTTAATAATAAACATCTTTTGATCAAATAACTACAATTCTTATAAAATATCATAACACTATATAATTTAACGAGATATATATATTATATTTTAATAGTTAAAATTAACTGTTTTCTTAACAACTCTTGATGTTTAATTTTCTGTTTTTATGTTTGTGTAATTTAGTATAACCTTAATCAAAATACTTAAACAAATCAGAATTCATTATTTTAAAAATTTAAAATAAATTTCAGTTTACCATCCAATCAATCTAAGGCATAAATTATTTAAAATTTATAAAATATTTAATTATTGTAAATATTGATAAAACTAACTAAATACATAAAAACTATAAATTAATATAAAAGTTAAAATAAATATCAATCAACTATTATAATATATTTATGTTATAAATAATTATGCCCATGTATGAGGACGGAAAAATCACCTAGTATGCATACAAGCAAGAAGCAAATTTGACTTAAAAAGGAAGATTGTCTAAGAAAAAAAGGAAGAAAAAAGTTTGACTTTCTTCTCAAGGGAATCTGAGTTGAGGTTTAAGAAAAATTTAGGTCATGGTACATGCGTGATATTTTTTTTTCGATGACCCTGATAATCTGGGTGTCGTCGAAAGAGGTCTGACACACATGTATGATATTGTTCTAGATTTTTTAATCCAAATTAATTATAGAAATGTATAAAATCCCAGTATTATTTTGGATGACAAAAATATAATATTTAAAAGAGTAAGCTGACCAAAAACTTTGGGTTAAGGTTTGCAACGAATTTGTATAGATGAATCTATGCCCGACGCGTGGGGGATTCTTTCCTAATATTATTTTGTTTTCTTTATATATTATATATTAACATTCTTTTTTCTTTTACTAACTATTAGCGGTTCTCTAGGGTTTATGGTGATGAAGAAGGCGATCTCCATCCCCTCTCCCTCCTGATCCAGATCCAGGCTCGCGGCGCTCTTTGCTCTTCTGCTATCATCACAAGGGAGACTCCATACACTCCTTGTGACCCTCATGATCTCGCTGCATCCTGAAAGATAACTTATCGACGTCAGCCACAAGTATATGGTGAGGAGAACACTAGTTGGATACCCTTAGACGCTTGTGAACCATTTTCTGTTCACGGTTCCTCTCAGTTCTTCCTTTGAAATTCTGATCCATTAAGATCATACATCCTTTGATGCATCGTGAACCTCTAAAGCAGCCCATCCTCTCGTCTGCAGTCTCTTGCATATCCTACTTTCGGTTTGGTTGTACTTCACTTGCGATTGAAGTCCTTGATACCTTTGTATCAGGGATCACATCTGCGATCGGGGCAATGGCTCGATCTAGGTGTGCTCATATGGTAGACATCAAAGAGAAAGGAATCTTATACGGGGATGATGATGAACCAATCAAACTCACAGAGCAAGATGATGCTTTCGTCATTCAGGAATATCGTATATATATCCCTCATTGGCAAAGTCCTTAACCCGGAGGAAAAAAATGTGGAGAAGTTAATCCAGACAATGCCAACTCAGTGGGGTCTCCAGGATCGTATCACAGCAAACGACCTAGGGAATGGCAAGTTCTTAATCAATTTCATAACATAAGAGGAACTAAATTTTGTTCTACGGAATGGTCCTTTTCATTACAACTTTTGCATGTTTGTACTAGTAAGAGGGAAGCCAATAGTGCACGATAACTATCCATGGATCATTTTGTTTTGGTTTAGCTTTATTTAGATGCCTCTACACTTGTGGATGGATCGAAATTTGAGAAAGATTGGTGGCTGTATTGGTCACGTTGACACTGTGGATCTCTCCGAGGCACGGCTGCTTATTGATTTTGTTTTAAGGAAACCTCTAAAGTTCAAGAGTAAGGTTCAAAGCCCTGAGGGAGATGAGGTCACTATTGAAATAAAATATGACAAGAATTTAAAACACTGCACTATCTGTGGGATGATGACACACGAGAAGGGATAATGTCCAACTTTCAACACTATCTCACGGTCTGCAACAGAGATAACTGATGTGTTCGCAAGAGTAGAGCTCCAGAACTATCAGTATGATCGACAGCCTTTGCTGCGTGATCAACGTGATCAACGTGCTACACAACAACCTGAAGTCGGTCCTGAAAATGTTCCTCGTTATCATGCTTTGAAGGGATAACCTCAACCTGATATGCAAAGGAGAAACAGGAGCATGGAGTTACAAGCTCGTCTTTCTGATCCACACAGTGGACACAGGGCGAGTTATGGGAGTGTTGACTATTATCATTCAAGCAACAGAAGAAATAAAAACAGTATCTCGCACCACTCTAATCGAATCATCCGAGAACGTGAAGCAAATACACGACATCATGGTTATAAAAAAGAACATCGCTACGTTCCATATCAACGAAAAGGGACTCAGACTTGGCGAGCTAAAAGAAAGAACATAATCTCTGAGGTAAAAATGGTGGCAAGTCTTGTGAATAGAGAAAATATGGATAATTGTGCAATTGTTTCTTATGAAAAAACGCAAGGAAGCAGTAAGCCTTTACATGGTGATATTCATCATCATGAAACGGTAGCTACGAAAGATAGAGGAGTGCTGCAAGGTATTAGACTGGCTAGTGTCATTGTCTCTCTGGAATTGCAGTCTTATGCTACGGGGGATAATGTCAATTTTGGTAATAAGAGTGTGGAAAGGTCCTTAACGTTCTTACCACAAGCTTCAGCCACTGCGAGAGGTGATGATCATATCATTGAAGCCCTGAGTGGTATGGAGTTAGAGATAGCTGGAGATGTTGACATGCTGGCCTGTGATGATGATCATTTCGATGAAGAATTGATGGATCTCGAAGTTAAATCAAAATCTAACATGGTCGCTGGACCTTCAACAGCTAAAGGAAATAATAAAGAGCCAAAGATTACAAGGAGAGACTCCAAAAGGAATCCCCCTTTGGGGATCCAAAAAAAGAAGCCAGATTTTCATCGCCGTGGTTCTCCACGCATACGGTCGATTATCTCATCTGTTCAGAAGATACATGGAGAGAGGGACAAGTCACGACAGTCTCACCATAGTACTAACAAATCTCAGGTTCGTTCGAGTAAGGAGGGTGGTTCGATGGGATCCAAAAACTCATCCCCCCATCACCTATGAAGACAATAAGTTGGAACTGTCGCGGGATTGGGAACGACCTCACATTTCGACGCCTTACGGAGATGTGTCAGAAGCATTGCTCAGAACTTTTGTTCCTTTCTGAGACGAAGAATAGGAGGCTTCTATTGCAAAACATTCAGGCCGACTTAGGATTTCATCGTTTGTTGACCGTTGAGCCACTTGGTCTCAGCGGAGGTTTAGCTTTATCTTTTATGGATGAATTTCAAATAAATGTTTATTTTCAAATAACAGAATGATTGACGTTAAGGCAGTCATTGATGGAATAAAAGTCTTTATGACGTTTGTTTATGGACAACACTGTGTTAGAACGGAGAGACTTAGTATGGGAATGTCTTACGCGTTTCTCAACAACTAGAACTGGACCTTGGTTTATGATTGGTGATTTTAATGAAATTACTTGCCACGATGAAAAAGAAGGTGGTAGACAACGTCCAGACAGTTCATTCCTACCTTTCAGACAAATGCTCAGTGATTGTGGAATGCTGAATTTTTCATTTACGGGAAACATGCTATCTTGGGTAGGAAAAAGAGCTGGGAGAGCTAAGGTCAGATGCCGTCTTGATAGAGCTGTCGAAAATGAAGATTGGCATGAAAAGTTCCCTCACTCCGCGGTGAAGTATATGAGACTATAGGGATCGTATCATCGTCCGATCCTAGCTGAAATTCTCATTAAGCCTTTTAGGAAATCTAAAAATTTCAAATTTGACAAAAGATGGCTGGACAATGAGGATCTACGGCAAGTCATACTGGAGGGGTGGAAGTCACCTGATCTTATACCTAGTGCAAGAATTATGGAGCATATTGCTAGTTTCCGGAAATCCTTGAGTGACTGGAGGAGACAACAAAATATTAACTCTGAGAGAAGTGTGGAGGAGCTAAAGGAGAAGGTTGAACAGTTATACTCGAATGATGATACCATAACAGAGGAGATTGCAGCAACTGTAAAAGAACTGTCAGATGCTCTTAAGGCTGAAGAGCTGTTCTGGAAGCAAAAGTGTCGGATTTTTTGGCTACGGGAAGGAGTTAGGAATATAAAAAATTTTCCATGCCCTCACAAAGCAAAGGAGAGCAAGGAATAGAATCACACAGTTACTGGACGCCAATGGCAATGTTGTTCAGGATGAGGAAGGACTTGTAGCCATTGCTACTAGTTATTTTAGACATATTTTCCAGTCATCTAACCTAGAAGATATAGAGAAAGATTTATATGAGGTCTTTACAATGATCACGGCTTCAATTAATGAAGGCCTCACAGCTCCGGTCTCTGAATGGGAGGTCAAACTAGCACTTTTTCCATGCACCCAGAAAATGCTCCAGGGCCGGATGGAATGACTGCCCTATTCTACCAGAAATTATGGGACATTGTAAAGGATAATTTAACTCATATGGTTAATCAATTCATGTTTGAAGGCACTATGCCATTTGGTTTAAATGGTATGAATATATGTCTTATCCCAAAAGTAGATAAGCCGAATCAGATGGGTCAACTCCGACCGACAAGCCTATGTAATTTTAGCTATAAGATAATCTCCAAGGTCTTATGCCAGAGATTAAAAAAGGTTCTACCAGAGAGTATTTCAGAAATTCAGTCAGCCTTTGTTGCTGGGAGACAGATATCCGATAATATCATGATTGCCCAAGAAATGTTCCATGTGTTGAGAACAAAACCAAGTGGGCGCAAAAAAAAAGATGGCCATTAAAACAGACATGAGTAAAGCGTATGATAGAATGAAATGGTCTTTCATTGAGGCGGTTATGTGGAAGATGAGTTTTTCGAAAACGTGGATAACTTGGATAATGTGCTGCATCGCGTCGGTCAAGTATAATGTGCTAATGAATTGCCAACCCAGAGGAAATATTGTTTCGGAGAGAGGTCTACGACAGGGAGATCCTTTGTCTTCTTTCATCTTTATTCTATGTACGGAAGCGCTCGTTAGCCTTCTTAATCATGTATAGAATCAAGGGAAGATAACGGGGATGTGTATCACACGTGCGTGTCTTTCGGTATCTCACCTTCTCTTTGCGGATGATAGCCTTTCTTTTTTAAGGCGGAGCCCGTGAATGTGAAGAAATAATGAAAGTGTTCAGGAAATATGGAAAAGCATCCGGGAAGTGCATTAACTTTGATAAATCCTCTTTAGTCTTTGGTAAGAGGATCGTCACGAATGTCAGACAGCAGATCAAAGATACTCTTGGGATTCAGAATAAAGGAGGAATGGAAACATACCTAGGAATACCAGAGGATATCAGTGGCTCCAAATGTAAACTCTTTGCCTTCCTCAAGGATAAGCTAAGGAATAAAGTAAATGGATGGATGGGCAGATGGTTATCGAAAGGAGGAAAAGAAGTTATGATTAAATCTATACTTCTGGCTCTCCCGACATATGTTATGTCATGCTTTCTGCTCCCGTTGGAGAAATGTGAAAACCTCGCTAGTGCCATTGCACAGTTTTGGTGGAGTTCAAACCATCCAAAGAGAGGGATTCATTGGGCAAAATGGGAAAAAATCTGCCTACCTAGGGATGAGGGTGGACTTTGATTCCGAATGATTCATGAATTTAACTTAGCTATTCTAGGAAAGCAATTATGGAGATTGGTCCAATTCCTGGATTCTTTAGTGGCTCATGTCTTAAGAGGATGGTACTATAGGATGAGTTTGCCTTTACGAACGATCTCAGCCCATCCTATGTATGGAATAACATTGCAGCATCACAAAGCTCACTATTACTGGGGATCAGACAAAAAATACATTATGGATATGAGGTCAAAGTGTGGGAGGATCCATGGATCCAAACCATACCAGCTATGCCGACTATTCCCTTGGCGCTAATATTGTATCCAAACATGAGTGTAAGTGATCTTATCAATCAGGAAACGAAGGCTTGGGATATTGGTCTACTGGAGAACTATGTATACACTGTTGACATACCTCTCATAAAGAGCATGGCCATAAGTACAACACATCGTGGAGATACTTTGTGTTTGAGTTACACCAAAATGGGCAGTACACTGTAAATATGGATATTGGGTAGTCCGGAATTTGTTGAGGAAGGACGAGGAGATGATGGAAGTCTATGAACCGAGCATAACTAAACTCCAAGCACATGTGTGGAAGGTCAAGGCACCTCAAAAAATATGTCATCTTATGTGGCAACTAATAACAGGTCATGTGGTTGTTACGAGCAATTTAAACCATTGAAATACGAGATGTGATAACTACTGTCCACGATGCGGGGAATCGGAGGAGTCGGTAACAAATGCTATCTTTGAATGTTCACCTGCTCTACAGGTTTTGTCTTTATCAACAATACCAACCAACCCTGATATTTTTCCGAGACGAAGTATCTATGCTAATATTGACTACCTCTTCTGGAGGAATAATGACATTGAGGAGACAGAACTAGATAATGATCCTTATCCTTGGATAATCTGGTATATTTGGAAAGCTCGGAATGACAAGTTATTCAGAGGATTAAATAGAGATCCATTGGAGCTAGTCCGTTACAAGGAAAGAGAATGTCAAGCTTGGTTCCAAGCAAATGAGATGAGCCCACAGATTTCTCAGGGACACACAAGTTATGAAAATCACGTCATAAGCCTGGAAGACATTTGTATGGTGGATGGTTCTTGGACCTCTATAGCTCAATTCAGCGGATGTGGTTGGGTTTTGACGGATAGCGTATGAAGAGTCAGCTATTGGGATGCGCAATTATAATAGATTGGAGACTGCTATGCATTCTGAAATACAAGCACTGCGATGGACAATGGAGAACATGCTTCAACATTTGTTATATCAGCTGTTTGGAACAGATTGTAAGGATCTGATCGCAATGATTAGGGAGCCTCATGCATGGCCGAGTTTTGCAACAGAACTGGAAACAATTTCGATGTTGCTGATATGTTTTCCAGATTTCAAGATATTCCACATTCCACGCGCATAGAACGGGATCCCAGACTCGCTAGCGAAGATTGCTAGATCATTGCATAGAGATTTGTTTTATGTTGATTGTTCAATTCCGGTCTGGTTACCCATACCACCTCAAGTTTGAATAATAGAATAGCCGTTTTCCATAAAAAAAAAATATTAACCAATTTTGGGGTAAATTTTTAAGGCAATCCTCTTAAATATATATGTTTTAAGTTTTTATAACAAAAATAGACCTCAAATAACTAAAATAGTATTTTTTGTATTAATTTTTTAAAAAAAAAATTTAAAATCATATTCTCAAAATTCCACTTTTCAACTCTAAACAAAAAGGCCTAGGATTAATTAACCTAAATGGTATACATGTATATTTACTTATTTTGATAAAAGATTTAATTATATTTTGGTCATTTTTATTTTTAAAATCTATATTTATTTATTTTTAAAATCTATATTTATGTCAAAAAATTTTTTTAAATCTATCCTAAAAAATTTCTCAAAGTTTTATATATTTTTTGCATGCACATTAGTACTACGTTGAGGAGATACATGTGCATGCATATAGATGGAAACCGCCACGAGTATTACCTTCTCTTAACAATTTTCTGAAAGAAAGGTTTTCTTAATAATTTGTGCATAATTTTATTTTCTTCACCAAAAATTTATTTAAATTATCATGTAAACACTTGAATTCCAGTCTCTTCGACTAGGGAGTAGGGACCATTTTGACATCCGTAAACAGGGGTGTGGAGTAAGAATTTTCCTGAGATCAATATCATAAATTTGGTAGAGGCAATTTGTTCTCTTAACAGATCTAAAATTTTGGGCTACTTAATTTGAAAACAATATCATTGCACTACAAGAAATATGAATATTGATAGCACTAGCGGATAGCGGATAGCGTTTTTTGTCTTTCTGCTATGGTTGACATATCCCTTCTTTTTAGATAGCGTTTGCAAAAATGCAAACGCTATGCTTTCTTAGTCTGATTTTAATTCTACAAATGCTTTTTTGAAATGTAGTAATCATAACACTTTCAGTTATGAAACGCTATGTACTAATTAAAGAGGGAAAATAAATTATTTTCCCTCTCATTTTTGTTTCACTTTCCCTCTTACTCCATTTTATTTACCTCCAAAAATCCTAAACCCTAAACCCTAAACTCTAAACCCTAAACTTTAAACACAACCCCTAAACACTAAATAAAAACTTTAAACTCTAAAATTTTAATATCAAATCTTAAATTTAACTTCAAATCTTAAATATAAAACTCAAAATTAATATTTTCAAAAATTAATCTCAAATCTTAAATCAAAACACCAAACCTTCAACCCTCAAACCCTATACTCAAACATTTATTTTAAATTCCAATTTGAAAAAAACGTTATACTCAAACACTCTAAACTCATAACACTTATAATTAATAGTAAAACATAATAAAAACGTTTTGTTGTCTTTTGAATTCCTAAACCCTATTGAAGTTTTAAAATTCTACACTATAAACACAAGCTTTAAACTCTAATACACTAATAAATTTTATAATATTTTAAAACATAAACTCCAAATCTTAAATTTAAAATTATAAACTTAAATATTTGTAACACTTAATCTTAAACATATACCTATTTAAAATTTTAACCATAAAAACCCTACACTACATACTATAACCTATATCATAAAATATTAAACCTCCATTTTAAATACAAAATAATTTAAATAATATATATCTCAAACTATATACAATATTTCAAATTTACATTATAAATTTCAAAAAAAAACAATTGACTAATAAACAGCACAATTATGATTATAGATAAATGAAAAGATAATTTTTACTGGTTTTATTTTAGACCTTTGATTAGTTTTCATCCAAAGGCTCATAATCACTCTTTTGTGATCTTTCCCCTTCTTTCTTATTGGTCTATATTTCAAAATTTGGATTGATATTTTTGACCATTGATTGCTTATAATCCAATGGCCAAAAATCTATCTTTTCATTTCCCTAATTCTTTCTATCTCCACATCTCTCATCATCTCCACGTCTCAAACACACACACACACACATATAGGAATAATTCTTCTCATCTCTCCACGGTCTCAAACACAAACACAAACACACATATACCATTCATATGAAAAATACATCTCCTTTCTCTATATCATTCGCTTCATCTCTCCTCACACACACACACACGGATCTGAAAGTGGATCACACACACATACATCTTCCATTCTCCACCATCCTCTCTCACTACCACCGGTCACCTCTCTCTCTCGATCTCTCTCTCTTTCTCTCTCTTTCGCTCTCTCTCTCTATTTTAAATCTGAATTTTTCTTCTTGTTAAAAGTAGTGGATTGTTGTTAGCAGATGTGGTGGTCGTTGGGTTTAAGGCTCGGAGGAGATGGAGAAGCTGGTGGTCATGAGAAGAGTTTTTCATGGCTTGCAGCGAGGAGGTGACAGAAAAGCTGGTGGTCGCGAGCAGAGTGGTGGTCATGGGCTGCGGTGGCGGAGACTTAACTTCGTCTTGGTTTTGAGATGAGATGGCGATGGAGGTCACGAGACAACGACTGATGGCTTGGCTTAGTTTGTCGTTGATGGACTTGAGTTGAAGCTGAAGGCGGCGTGATTTTGCAATTAGGTTAGTTAGTGAGTAGGATTAGTAGGTTTAGTTAGTGAGTAGGATTAGGTTAAAGCTTGGTTAGTTTTTTGGTTTATTTGATTTAGTATCTTTCTAGACTAATTAGATCTATTTTTAATTTGTAAATCATACTTTTGTAAACCAGTTCAATTATAAATCATTTTTTTTTAAATTATGTTGTTATTTTATATAATTAACTAAAAATAAATAATTTAAATGTAAAAATAACAAAAATAAAACTGAAATCAATATCAGAAATCAAATGCTATGTTAAAAAATATATATAACAAAACGAAAATCACTATCTAATTAAAGTATACTGTAGCAGAAATAAAAAGTGCTATCTAAAGTGATAGAACTATTATCGCGGCCGATGATACAGCGTACCTAATACCGCTATGGTAGTGTTAGATAGCGTTTTCTCGACGTAATTAATACTCTATTTTCTTGTAGTGTTGGCTGTTTATTTGACTATATGTGGTTGAATTTGTATTGTTTTTTTATCAAAATAATGATTTGATATTTACAAAATATCTCTGAAGTTCAGACATCTTTAATAAATATAATATATAAAACACGTAATTGTTAGTCTCTAGAAATTTATGATAAACTTATTTAAATTTTGAAAACTCTATATAGCTTCTAGCAAAAAAAAAAATCTATATAGCTTTAAAATTTCATAATTTAGTAGAATGTTATTATTTGTAGAAGGTTCCTTCTAAAACTAAATATGTCTAAGTTGATGACAAAAAAAATTAAAATGTATAGTTCACACATATGTATTAATGCAATTTATGTTCTACTCGGATATGATAAATATTAATTTTTTTTTGTCATCAATAAACATTACATACTCATGACGATTCTCCAAACTAAACTGGGAGCTCTGAATCCATATGGACGACGAAGATCAGGTGTTTCCTGGCACGGCGTGCAAGTTTATCCGCTCTTGAATTCATCGTACAAGAAACATGGAGAAGCTCGGAGGAGTGAAAACTTCCCTTCAGAATCTTGATGTCTTCTAAATAACTTGCAAAAGCTGGCCCTTCTTTTGGTTCTGAAACCATCTTCACCAACTGAGAACAATCTATTGAAAATGTGACATGATATTGGTGTAAATTCTTCATGGACTTCATTGCCCATATAAGTGCATCCACTTCAGAAGGAAGTGGTGAAAGACTAGCACGAGTATTTTGTGCCCCCATTAGACCAGCAAAACCTTCGAGAGTGCTATGTGCCGAATATGGCTCCTTGTCCTTCCATGATCCTTCTACAAAACACCATCTTCCAGAAATATGTGGTAAGATCGTAGCCTCGTTCCCTCCCCTGGGAAGTTCTCTTTGAATGAGTGTCAGTTGTGCCTCAACCCATAGTAATGATTCTGTTTCTGCCAGTTTGAGAGTATCTCTGAGGTCTACATCGATGTTACAAAAATTCTTATTGTTCCTCCCTTTCCAGATGTACCATAAAATCCAAGCAAAATGATGAACCTCCATCTATGGAGGCACTCTCCAGAACAGATGATCCGTATTCGTAAAGAGTCATTAAGTTAGAAAAATATCGGATTTGATGAGATCCGAGATAGTGCCCAAACTTGCAACGCTGGTGGACATTCAAAAAATACATGGTTCACTGATTCCTCTGGTTCCCCACACCGAGCTCAGCATATATCCCCTTTAACTCCTCTTCTGCTTAATATTTTCTTTACTGCTATACATCCTGATACAATTTACCACAAAAAGCTTAATTTTTGGTGGGCATCGAACTTTCCAAAGAAATTCCTTGAGAGCATCAATCGCAGGCCAAACATCGTTGGTGATTTTTCTCTTTCGGGGTATATCCACTTCACTTGGTATCCAGATTTAACCGAATATTTTTCATTATTTATAAAGTGCCAGCCCTCTCTATCCGTCACCTGGATCCGACTTAGGTATCCTTTGAATAGTCTGTATGTCTTGAGGATCCACAAGGGACTGAAGTGCATGTAAGTTCCATGTTCTCGAGGTCGTGTTAATGAGAGAATCCACTGTGAAATCGGGAAGAAAATTTTGTTGAATACTATTTGCTGGTCTCAGGCGAGTGGTTGGGAGCCAGAGGTCATTACATACATAGATGGCTGGCCCTGATCCCACCCTTTTGATTAGTTCTTTGCTAGCCAGATACCTACCATAGATCATACTCTGTCAACCATATGATGCTGAATACGATTTTATCGGTTCCAGGAGTGATGCATTCCTGGAATACCAACCTTTAAAAACTCTAGAAAATACGGTATTCTTCTTTTCAATCAAACACCACATCTGTTTTTGCGAGCATAGCCGTATTAAAATCCATGATGTCTTTAAATCCCAATCCTCCTTCATCTTTTGGTGTACAGAATTTGTCCCATGATTTCCAATGCATACTTCTCTTTCTCCCTCCAAGACCACCAAAATTTTGCTACTGCACTCGTCAACTTCTGTGTCACTGTCTTAGGTATCTGGTAACACGACATAACATGATTAGGTAATGCTGTTACCACTGATTTAATGATCAATTCCTTTCCACCTCTGTTAAAAAATTTGAAAGTCCAACCATTGACTCGATTATTTAGTCTATCTTGAACAAACCCCAAAACTTGTGTTTTCGAACCTCCCAAGCTTTCAGGTATGCCTAAATATGATCTCATCCCGCATTTTTTTTTGAATGCCTAAAATATCTCTTAATTCCTGCCTTCGTGGTTCATCTATTTTGTGACCAAATTGAATAGCCGATTTTTGTAAGTTGATCAGTTGCCCTGAAACTACCACATGTTCCTTTAAGATCCTCAGAATGACTTGACACTCCTCGTTCTCTGCTTTACAGAATAAAAGACTGTCATCTTCAAAGAGCAAATGGGACAGGCCCTTGCCACCTTCAAAGCAGTCCAATGTTTCTTTCTTCCTGCTTTCTTAATATTAGCTATTAGAGCCTCTGTACACATAATGAATAATTAAGGCGACAATGGATCCCCTTGTCTACGCCCTCTCTTCGAAATAATATGTCCCCTTGGTTGTCCGTTTAATAAAACCCGGTATTGGACCGATGGGATGAAAACCCATTTTTTGTAACAAGGCCGCGATAAATGCCCATTATATCCTGTCATACGCTTTACTCATGTCTGAATTATATCCTGTCATACGCTTTACTCAAGTCTGTTTTAATTGCCATAAACTTACTTTGACAGGACTTGTTTGTCCTTAGCCCATGAAACATCTCCTGGGCAATGAGAATGTTATCATAAATCAATCGTCCAGCCACTAAAGCTGATTGGGTTTCCGAGATTAGTGTAGGTAAGCATGTCTTCAATCTCTGACATAAAAATTTAAATATGATCTTGTATCCTACATTACATAGACTGATAGGCCTAAGATCTGTCATCCTGGTTGACCTCTTTGTCTTAAGAATCAAGCAAATATTTGTTATGTTTAAAATCGTATCCAACTTCCCTAAAACCAAAAAGTTGTTGACCAAATTAACTAAATCATGTTTAATGATAGGCCAAGAATGTTGAAAAAATAAAGTCGTCATTCCATCCGGTCCTGAGGCTTTCTCCGGATGCATCATAAACAAGGCCTGTCGAATCTCCTCCTCCGTCGCGATTCTAAGCAGTCGCTGGTTTGTTTGATCTGATATACTCCGTGTGATTTCACTCACGAAAATATCAAATTCTGATGGTGAAGTAGTACTAAATAGGCCATCAAACTAATCCACTGCTACTTTCTCAACCCCTTTTTCCTCAGTTACCCAGTTTCCCTCCTCATCATGAAGGCCGACAATTCTATTGTGGGTGCAACGTTGTTTTGTTAAAGCATGGTAGAATTTGGTATTGAGATCGCCCAATGTGTTCCAGACATTTCTACTTTTTTGTTACCAATACTCCTCCTCAACCTTATAAGCTTCCTGAGATTTCCTTGATACTTCCAAGATTTCCTCTTGGGTTCTGCTATCATCTGTTTGTACCTCTTCTAAAGCTTGTTGAAGTTCACTAATTTCTCTTTTCCATACGGCGGGTTATTCGTTCGCCACGCTGCATCTCGTGCCGATAGTTAATAATTTTGGTGACAAATGATTATGTTTCTCCATTTCTAGATGCAGTCCAGCCTTTATCAATGGATTCCAATAAACTTTCACGTCCTATCCATCTCTTATCAAATCGAAATTGCCCTCGTCATCTGGGTACTTTGTCTTCAAGGAACGCTACTACTTGTCGATAATCAGAGCCAACTAAACCCAAATATTCTAAGTATTAATGTGGAAAGAGAGTGTGCCAGTATTCATTAGCTAAAGCACGCTCCAACCGACAACGGATCATTATTTTCCCCCTATTTCCTTGCCAAGACATTTGATTTCCTTTAGCTAGAAATAGCAGACCACTATCCCTAATCATATTATTGAATAGGACAAAAGATCCTGCATTTCTCAGCTGTCCATCCTTCTTTTCATGGTTCCCAGTGATTTCATTTAAATCCCCTATCACAAACCACAGGTCTGTCCTCGATAAACCATATTTAGTTAATCTCTCCCACACCTGCTCCCTTAATTTAATGACCGGGTCTCCATACACAAATGTTAGAAAAACTGTTTTTTCCAAGAGCTACCGCCTCCACGTCTATCATTCGATTACTGGAGTAGAGAATCTTAACCTGGTACTCATTATTATAATAGAGTGCTAATCCTCCACTCTTTCCAACTGGGTCTACGGTAACTAAATTGTCGAACCCGAAATGTGATTGAAAGCCTTGAACAAAATCAAATCCTGCTTTGTTTCGGATAAAAATAGAAAGTCCGGCTTATGCTTATACCAAATCTCGCGTAAATAACTGATTGTCTATTTTCTTCCCATGCCTCTACAATTCCAACTACGAACTCTCATAAAATTATGATTCTGATATGCTCCGAGAAGCTAAACTGATAGGTCTGAAGAAACCCGATAACCCCCAACCACCATAAAACACTGTTTGTTACCCTCAAGAAATTTGTATTGGTCCAGGATAAATGCAAAAATATATGTTTATCATAGTCATCATTGTCGAGTTCCAGGTAGGTTATATAAGATATGAAATTGCATCGTTGAGATGGATTTAAAGAGAACCCTAGATAATGGGAGAAGTCACACCATGACCCCCACGTACCACGTTTCTCATGCATATATTTCCTGGGTGAAAGCAGAAGAAAATGAACACAACCTGCAATTAATAAATTTCTGCAAAACTACATTATCCAAAACTTCAAGCAGACCGGTGACAATCTTCAAACCCGTTAGCACAATGTTAAAACCAGGCTGTAACCTCAATGGAAACCCAATGTGTATCCCATTAACATAACACGACCAATTCCATACCAAAAAATAATCATGCCAACCAATAGTAGATATCTCCTGAAACAAATCTCGTTCTGGTTGGATGGGTTCTCTGTCTAAAAGCAATACGATATGAGCAGTATCTACAAAGAATGGATTTCCGTAAAAAAAAACCAACCAAAACCTTACTTGACAGACAGAGAATAGACCTAAGCCCCCTAACTCAGTGTGAAAAACTAACAGATAACCCCAATCAGTAATGAAATCTCTAGTATGATGTACTTGAGATAGAAACTGTGACCTCAAAGTATATTCAGACCTTAACCAAACAAGCTTGACCAGACAAGTAACCACACATACACCAAAAAGACCATTTATTCCTTAAATTCCGCAAATAGATCTTATCGTATGATCTTAAGTCATACATCCAAATTAAAATACTGAGAAAACCAGAACATGATAATAAAAAGCAAAAACAGAAACAGATACTCATGGAGCTTATTAAAAGTAGAAAAACCAAGCGAAATAACCAAACCTCATACTCTCTGATCATCTTGAGTGCTTTTAGTGTTTTGGGCTAGAAGCTTTCGGGATCACATGTCTCTTTTCCTCAGACGGCTTCACCCCTACGTCAACTTGAGGCATGATCTTCGGTGCCAACTTCTTCCTTGGAGAGATAAGCGCCTGCATCACTCTCCTCTTAGTTAACCCCCCGGTGGTGAACAGGCTTCTGCGAGTTCCTTGCTTCTTAACATGGCCCGGGAGAATCTTTGCAGTGAAGCCAAACTCTGCTGCCGACTCTTTCTCGTCTGCCACAGCATTCATTCCATCCTTCTAGTCCGCATTGTCAATAAGACCATGATCTTCTTCCATCAAAGCCTCATTATCTTTCAGTTCCTTCATGAACGCAAGATCGTCCTCAGTACCTTCCCCTCCTTCCTCTGACCCTAGCTTCATCGCATATGTTTCTAGAATATCATCATCTAGAACCTCATTGATCAAATCCAATCCATCTTCAACAGCTATAGACACAATCTCTTCCTTTACCATATCATCCAAGACATTACCTTGCTGCTTGGAATCTGACCTCTCATTATGGACCACCGAATGGCTGTGAGTATCTTTCTCCTTGTATATTAGTTCACGGTGATTCCCAAAATTGTGCTTGTCCCTGTTTGAATCCCTTGGGTGTTCTTCTCTCTCTCTTCCATTCCGCACTAGATGTGAATCACCTTGACTGTGAGACTGATGGTAAGAGTTTCCTGGTGCATATTTTTCCCTGCTTCTGCGTTCCACATATCCCCTTGGACCCATCACTTCCACTCTGCTCAACTTAGCCTCTCTTTCGTCATACATTTTCTTTTTACCATTTCCTTGGTAATGCCTTTTTCCATTTCCTTGTTCCTTGTTCTCCACATTTCCATTAATCCCAATTCCTTTGTAACTGGAGATTCTGTGATCTTGTCTCCCCCCCCCCCCTGGAATGAATGGTTCTGTCACGCTCCTCAACCACGATCTCACCAGTGGCAGAGAAACTATGTGAATCATGGCAGAGGCTCAAACAAGTGTCACCATCAAAGTCCAAAGTCGTTTCAAAACAAAGATTCTTGAAACCCATCCACCACCACCAAGATCCTTCCGTTTTCAAGATCCACCTCATTTACCTCTCCAGTGGCTCCACAAATGCTCTGGAAAGTAGGAAGCGCCCAGAGCTGAAGTGGAACATCCATAGCCCGAATCCAAAAAGAGATAGCTGACGGGTAACTCCTATCCATCACTGGTTCCCATCTCACCAAGGAAGTCATCCAATAATCAAAATGATAAGGTTGGTATTTTAAAACCTTGACAATGTCTTCCTCTTCTTCAAAGTTGAATTGAAAACGGCCAAGTCCCAGGTCGACACTAGTCACTCGATTCTCCATCTTCCAGATCCTAGGCATTAGGATGAGAAGAGTCTCCACATCTTGCTTACTTGGGTTCATGCATCTGCCAATTAAGGTTTTGGAGAAATTCTCAATCACACTAGTGTTGTCAAACTTCGGGACGGAGATCTTCAATGGCTTACGTAGTTCCACCTTTTTTCCCTGGCCCGACTTTCCTACTAGACTTCCTTGAGACATTTTCTTGAGAAAAAAAAAACAGAGCACGGAGATAACAAGGATAGAATAAGTTGTTGTTGATATAGTGATGATATGAAGATCCCCTCTGTCACTCTTTATATTCTCCTTCCCTTTGCAGCTCGAAAAAATCACAAAAGATTTTGGAAAATTCTAATAACTGTTAGAGGATCCCGGAATGATCATGAAAATCAAAAGTGTCCCCAACAATTCTTTTGCCAAATCCCTATCAAACAATCTATCAAAATCCTTGCCTTTGTTAACCTTCCCGTAATAGACTGATTGTGATCTGATTGATCCTCCCAAAATTTCCCTCAATCCTTTGTGTAGCGTGGAGAGAATCTTCGTTACCATTAATTTACTAGTAGAGAATCTCGTGTTCCTCCCAAATCGCAATCTCTGATTATCCCTCAAAAAATCTTTCCTTACCTCTAAAAGTCCTTGATATCAAAAGGATTTGCCGGATAATGAAACAGAATATTCATCGCCAACCTTCCCACAAATCCCGTACCAAACCCAGATCCCGTTTCTACATGACCAAGGATTTGAGATCAATGAATCCGATTTGTTTTCCAATCCACGAAACAGTCTGAGAATCACCTCCTCCTGGACGCCATAATGAATCAATCCATGTATATCCTAGGAGATCCTTTGATTACAATCCGATGTGATAAATATTAATATGTAATAAATTATAAATTTTAATATAAATTTTTCATAGTATAAATATAAGTTTATAGACTTAAGTCTATGATTACATTGTTGAAAAAATGATTAGTACTCCTTTGATTAATGTAACTCTAATAAATTATCTCATTTGTCTAAATATTTAAGCATGCATTGTGACCAAAGAAAACTTACGCACACGTTAAATTTTGTTATCTATTCGTGACTTGAAAGTTTAGGTTATAACTGGTAACCATTAAAGGAATATAAGGAATAAAAAAAGGAATGAAAGAGAATAAAATGAGAGAAAATCATATTCATCTCCTAATTTGATAAAGAATAATCGTAGTCTATTATTTTTAAAATGTTAAGGAATATTAAAGAACCATAAGGAGTAAAAATTTCTTGTAAATGGTGTAAATTGTAAAGAATGATAAGGAATCAATTATTTCCACTTATTTTCTTAATCACCATTTAGAGTTGGTCTAAATCTAACACAAATTTTTTGAAAAAATAATATCAGAAAATTATAAAATGATTTCATTATACTAACATCATAGATTATGCGTGCGGCATTTTCTAATACAGACTAAATTATATCATGGTAAATCCAATGAAAATAAAGTTTTTAGTAATAGAGAATTTAATATTGTTTTACTAGCATAACAACCTAATCTAACAGTGTCTCTAAAAATGTCATGTTTTGGTATTTTTAAAATGAAAACTATTTTAGAACCAATCAAGTTTAAATTTTATCATTTAATTAAATATTTACTTGTAAAATAGCTAATTTATAGAGTTCGTTTATAATTATCTCTTAGAATGAACGATTTTGTAATAGTCTAACTGGTTTAAATGCATTGGTTATGAATTATGATTACAGCTACGGAAGTTTACAAATCTGGTAATCGTGGTTTCAAATATCATGAAACTATTCATACGATTGATGCATCGGTTATTAATCTGTGTATTACGGAATATGTATCATTGGTTGATTAACATATACAGTAGTAACTTAATAATAAATTAACAAAATAATAATAATAAATTAAAAATACTAACAAATTATATAGTTAAGTGTCAAAATTATATTATTGTAGTAAGACAGAAAAAAATATTTAGTTAATATAATTAATAATAATTTTATGATTATTTTTTAGTTTTCATATTATTAGCATAATTATAAATTATTATGATTATTATTATGTTTGTTTTTAGTTTTTTTTTGGTTTATATGAAAGTTATAATTTTTATGAAGAAATATTTTTAATGGATTTTAATATTAGATTTTAAATATATATATATATATATATATATATATATATATATATATATATATATATATATTTATTCTTAATATAGCCTTCAGGTAATTAATTAAAAGTATTGTTTTCGGGTAAACTGTATGGAGACCTATTTATCATCTAAAAGTATTGATTTCGGGTAAATTAATTATCCTTAAACCTTGTATACTAATTAGTTCTCATATTTTTGTATATGCACATTTTGTGCACACTACTAGTTAAAGTCATTAATTACTATATGAACATAGGCCGTTGACACAAAAATTGGTCAAAAACTCTGGATTCTTTCAACTACTAACATTCGGCAATTATGGACTCTTATATCTTAGGATAAATATATCAACGGGGGCCAAGGGGGCCAAGGAGGTTTTGATAAAGTCGGTTGTTCTAGCTCTCCCAATATATGCAATGTCAGTTTTCCGGCTACCATAGGGTCTTTGTGAATGAATTACGAGTGCGATTATTGAGTTTTGGTGGAGCAGTGGGGATAAAAAAAAAAGATTCTTTGGGTTGCTTGGGAAAAGTTATGTAAACCAAAAGAACAAGGGGATTTTGGATTTCACGACATTGGTCGTTTCAATCAAGCCTTACTCGGAAAACAAGCATGGAGAATTTGGAATAATCCAGATTCTTTGGTTTCTAGAATTCTTAAAGGAAAGTATTTTAAAAATGGAAATTTTCTTGAGTGTGGTATGGGGACGCGCCCATCATTTGCATGGAGGAGCATCATGCACGGTCGTGAACTCCTTAAAAAGGGTCTGGTTAGACATATTGGTAATGGGCTGGATACAAATGTTTGGGCAGAAAACTAGATGATTGATATTATTCCCAGACCTCCAATGTACCGAGAAAATAGCCCCATAGATTTAGCTTTAAACGTTTCTGATCTATTACTACAGGGGTCAAATCAATGGGATATTAATTTGTTACATCGTACGTTTACACCACAAGATGTTCAAAGGATTTTAGTGTTGAAACCGTCGCTGGTGTCACAGGATACTTTTATATGGGGCTTCACGCCAAATGGGATTTATTCGACGCGGAGTGCATATAAATTCTCAGAGACTTTGATAGATTTTGAACACCCTCCACAGAACTCTCTTACTCCTATTGAAAAACATTTGTGGAGAGATCTTTGGAAGATCAAAGCACCCCCAAAAATTAAACATTTCCTCTGGCGTGCTTTATCTGGTGCATTAACTGTTAAACAACGTTTGGCTACTCGGGGTATTCTTATTGATCAAACTTGTTCTCTTTGTGGTAATGGGGTTGAGAGTATATGTCATGTTCTCTTTACATGTGAAAAAGTAAAGGCCACATGGGAACACTCAAATTTCCTATTACCTCCAGGAGGTTTCTCTCGGAATTCCACATTTTTAAATTTTATGCATCTGAATAAGACTGCAAAAAATTTAAATATGGATGTTCATACTAGAAATGTCTTCCCATGGTTATTATGGGAAATTTGGAAACCTAGGAATGCTTTTACCTTTGAAAACAAAGTAGTTGACGCTTTGGTCGTGGCTAAGAAAGCATATGAAGCCGAATCAGAATGGGTGGATACTTTCTCCGTACAAAATGAGGAGATTACTAGTATTGATACGAAAAGGGTGCGGTGGAAACATCCGCCTACTGTTTTTTTAAAATGTAATATTGGATCTTCATGGGTGAAATCTAATCAACCGTCTGGTGCTTCTTGGATTTTACGGGAAGAAAATGGGGGTACGCTCATGCACAGTCGTCGGACTTACTCTTATATGCGTACAAAAACTGAAACGGACTTATGGGCTTTGTTTTGGGCGGTCGAATGTATGGATAATTTACATTACTCAAATATTATTTTTGAGATTTCGTCTGAATGCCTGCATGATGTTTTCATAAAGCCAATTAGCCAGCAAACCCATGATTTCAGCATCATCCGTCATAATATCATCGCTCTTTTAGCAAGAATAGACACATGGAGCTTAGAACATGCTTTCCAGGAGCGCAATGAGGCGGCAGCGGCGATTGCTCTAAGCGTCACCCGTGATCAGCGGCATCAGTCGTATATCGCTAGACTTGCTCCACCGTGGCTTCATCATCTTCTCGCTTGGGAGGCCCAAAAGTAAGGAATCCGATGGGTGAGGTTTCTATTATTTTGTTGTTGGTGTCTATTGACATCCTTTTTTTTCTTTTCTTTTGTATCTCATGTTTCATGTCTTGGACAATTCGAAATATCAGTGTTATAAAAAAAATATATCAACGGGGATATTGTTAACATTTTCTTCGATTATGTATATCACATTTATGTAATATATATATATATATATATATATATATATATATATATATATATATATATATATATATATATATATATATATATATATACTCCACTTTTGGGAAGGAGCCATGTGAAGCAAAATGTTTGCATCCCTTGTTAAATTTGATTACATGAATATAATCCCCTTATACATTAAAA